ATACTACTTTACAAATAAAAACAATTACTAATATTATTTTATATATATGAAATTTATATGCATATGGTTTATATGTGGTTTTTATTTCATTGGGAAAAAACCAATAATGACTATTTTAAACAAAAACAACACATCTATTTTAGAAGCAATATTTGGCAATATGGAGCCAAAGAAAGAAACCAAATTCATTTATAAAATTTAGTCTCCAAATTCTACTAAAACTAGGAATGAACATAACATTTCATTGACATTTCTCACTCAGTATATTTTGCAATAAAATGCTGCTATTAATAGTACAATGTAGAATAGCTCTCAGCTCCAATTCTTTACTTTCCTAAATCACATATTTTATCCTTTGAAAAAGGTCGAAGAACCACTACCAATACTAGGACTCATTTAACTTACACAGTGATGAGAATTCAATTTAACTTTAAAACAAAACAAAAACCTTATTTACACTTAATGATTACATTCTCCTAAGTTCTTCTCTCTTAAAAAAACAAAAACAAGCAGCTTGATACCTATGAAATTCTTCATTACTGTTTAATAAAAACGAATCTATTCTTCATGTTTCTCTTATATAAAAAGAAGTGTAACAATAAACATTTACATTTTGCTACTTATTCTGTTTATCCTAACAAAGTTAACATGTGGGATTATATTTCTCTATTTGCTGAAATTGTAGGCTATAACACATGGAGGGAAAAGGCAAACATAGCTTGATTTCAGAAGATAGTCTAGAGTTGGGTTTCTCAACTTTGACACTATTGGCACCTTGGGCTGAAAAAGTCTTTGTTGTGAGGGGCTCTAATATGCATTGTAGGATATTTAAAAGCATCCCTATTTACCAGATACCAATAGTTCTCCAAGTTGTAACAACTAAAAATGTCTCCAGATATTGCCAAATTTCCCTCCTGAGGCTAAATTACTCCTAGTCTCAAGAATATGAGGACACAGATAAACTGATGAATTGGTAGAATTAAACACTGGAAGTTAATATAGAGTCCAAAGTCAAAAAGTTAATATTTAGCATCTAGATGCTGATACAAAAATGAAAGAATGTGAGATAAAAGATAAATTATTCCCCCAATACAAAATGTGAAGCAGTATAAAAACCACTGGTGCTCAGCAAGATGTGAAATACTGGTTGGAGCAGGGGTGGGAGGGGTTGTTGAAAAATAACACACTTAAAAATGTTGAGAGATATGTGTGTCAATTGCTAGAAAGAAATAACATTCTAAAAATATTATATGCCACTTTTTTGTGTGTGCTCAAGGAAATAAAAGCAGAGTTACATTTGCTATTTTCCTCTTTTAGACTACCATCTGGCAATCCACACTTCCACTAGAAAAAAATTCTAGCTAATTGGATTGCAATAGTGAATATACCAACCCATGTGCCAAAAATATACCGATGAGTCTACAATTTGTTTGGTTATGTTCAAAATGAAAGACACTAATGTTTTTAAAAGACAAAAGTAAATAACTCACAACTTGTTTACTCAACTGACGACAGTCATTATAATATTTCCAGAGTCACAGGGATTTGCTAAGAACAAGTGAAACAAACACTCCTCAAGGTGGTGTAAATATTCTACATACAATGCATACAAGATTCATTACCATAACAGGACCTATAACCGCTTCCTTTCTCTTAATATACAAAAGTTGTCTCGACAAACTGGTACAATAGTGTATCCTTGACGTTCTCTGTTACTAATCCATAAAGTCATGCTATGGTAACAAGGACCTACAGTTACCAATAGAAAAACAAAAATGATCAAATACAAAGAAAAGCAGAAAATCATGTACCATTGCACAAACATAATCTGTATATTTTAAGCACTTTTACAAGTATTCATCTAGCTGAGCAAACAGACATGGTCCTGGCTCATATGGAGTTTATAACCTAGGGCAGGAATTCTACTGAAATAATCAAACATTTAGGAAAAGCAGCACCATGAAAGAAAGGTACCAAACTCAACCTCTCTGTTCAAAAAAAAGAAGAGCCAACACCCAAGGGGAAAAAAAGTTAACAGATAAAACAAAAGACTTTAAGTATAAATATTAATATTATTCTCACACAGACTGAGAGAATATTGTATTTGTAAAACAGGAATGGATTATAACATAAAAAATTTTCATAAATGTGAGCACACATTTATACATGTGTATGAAATCTTAGAAAACCAAAGATAAAGAGAAAATCCTAAGGGCTTTTGGAAAGACAGAATAGGTATACGACATTTTCAGATATTCAAGGATTGACTACAGTCCAGGATTAAAAGAACTATAAAAGGATATACTTCATCAAATTAAAAAATGAAACAGAATATTGACTAAGAAAGCAAATTACAAAAAGGTAGAGTATAATACTACTTATAAGTATTTTTAAAACATATCAAACAACATCACATATTTTTGAGGAAATACTTATACAATAAAAATATAAAAGCATTCATGGTTTTTATAATAATGCATGAAAATGCATAATGCATGAAAGTAAGAGGTAAGCACATGGGGCAGGGCTTTGGCTTGATACTTCTTTAAGAAGAAACAACCACCATCACCAGAATCACAGAGGGTCTATATAGGAGAGGGAGGGAGAAAGAGGAGTAACATCAAACTCTAAGTCTTTTTTGTTCTAGTGAAGAGTATGGATACTAATTAAACCTAGATATTGATAATTAAAAAAAAAGAAGTTTAAATGTACATCAAAATTTTAAGGTCAATCATGGAAAACCATTTTGAAATAGATATTTTCTACTTCCAAATCATCAGAGGAAAGAAATGATACACACAAGGCAATCAATCTGAAAGAAGGCCAACTATGTCCAACTATATCAATAATCACAATAAATGTGAATTAATTAAATTTACTATTAAAATAGAGAGACTCTCATGCTGGAGTTTAAAAATATCCAGCTACATGCAGTTTATAGGTATATGTAAATGAGAGATACACCTAAGATAAAACGACACAGGACAGATGAAAATAAAGAAATACAAAAAGCTATAATAAATCAATAATTTTTTAAAAAGTAAATATAGCAATATTAACATCAGGCAATTAGAATGAAAGAAAAAATAGCTTCAAATGGAAGAAGAACAAAATCTCCTATTGATAAAATATGTAGTTAGTCAAATTGTCATGCCACAAATCTTTATGCATTTAATAACAGAGCTTCAAAATATATAATGCAAATTCTAATACAAAAACAAGAAGAAAATTACTTCCATAATCATAATGTGAGATTTAACACATCTTTCACAGAAATTCACATTTCAAATAGATAGAAAAGATAAATATAAAGGGTTTTAATAAACTTGACTATATAAATCTAAATATATAAACACACACACATATATCCCCCAACAGGTAATATAATCAATGAACAGCTTAAAAGCTGACCATGTATTAGGGTACCAAAAGAAAAAAAACCTCAAAAAAAGTCTCAAAAGCATAAAACATATAAGCATATTCCTCTTATCACGCCTCAATAAAGCATAAGGATAGTCAATTGAAACTGTTTTCTTTAGACTGCATCAGATAGGCAAAAATCTAAATGGCAGTTTGGGTGAGAGTGCAGGGAAATAGGCATTTACAGAAACTTCAGATGGGAATATAAATTCACAATGACTTTTTACAAAACAATTTGATATTACCTATCAAAATGTTAAACGTCCATACCCTTTGATTCAATAATTATGCCTCTAGAAATCCCTCTTATAAAAAAAAACTTACTTATAATCACAAAACAAATAATATAACAGTACCTAGTACACCACTAATCATAACAGCAAAAATTAATAACCAAACATCCATCAATAGAAAAATGGCTAAATAATTTACAGTACCTCCATTTCATAAAATGTCAAGCACTGATATGGAAAATATTTCCAAGACAAACCTTATTTTTTAAGTTCAAAAAAATGCACAGGTATCATTCTAATTATGTTAACATATAAAATGAATAGAAAAAGGAATGGAAAAATACACAACAAACCTCTTACTTCTAGAGAGGGGCATAATGGAAAACTTTAATATTTTACTTTATATATGTTCCTTACTGTTTGAATATTTTACAATTTGTACTGCTTGCATAATTTTTTTTTAAAAAAAGCAATAATTTTTTTAATGTCTTATTTACTTCCCAGAACAAGACTGGATCTTTCTGTTCTTAGCACAAATTTGATCGAATCCATCTGAGAGTACTGAACAAGAATAAATTTCCAACATGTTCCAATAAGAATGCTTGCTGTTCCCTGTGCTGGGTATGATCTTCCTTCAGATACAGCTCACTACTTGCTTCCTTCGTTTTCCACTTAAATATCACCTTATCTGAGGAATTTTCCCTGACTTTCTAATATAAAATGATAACTTCCTATACCTATCCTACCATTCCCCAACTATATTACCTTGCTTCATCTTTCACTAGAGTAATCTACTACCTGTGTCTAAGTGTTCTTACCTTTAAAATGGGGGTGATAATAGTACCTACATACCCCACAGGGTTGTTGTTGGCCTTATATGAGCTAGCAGTTCTTAGATGAGTGCCTAACACATAGTAAGGAACAATAAGTCTTTGATTTTTTGTGTGTGTTTTATTCATAGTCTGCCTTCTCTCTATTAGAATAATGACCCCAGGAGGCAGGGTCTGTGTTTTGTTCACTGTTGTATCCTGATGCCTGGAAAGTGCTTATCAGTAAATATTCATAGTCGTTTAAGCCTGATTCAGTACTGCCACCATATGTAGGGGCAGCTTAGATTACAAAAAAAGAGCAAAATAATACCAAAAACAGTTTTTGGTAAATGGAAGCTTTCTGCATATTAGTATGAATCATCTGTAATAATTCAATCTATGTTAAAAGCTTATTATTTAGCAGTATCATGCATAGAAGCTTCAAGTAGGGAAGTGGTACAAATCCAATTAATTCATACCAACATGGCAACAAGCTAAAACATACTGTTTGTACTGAGAAAACGAAAGCACAACTTACTTTTCATTCTTACTTTTGATGCATGGCTGGTAGAGGACCTTGACAGCACTCCAGGCAGAAGTGGAATCTGCTTTCATTGAGTCTTCCAACAGGGGAAATTTTTTGATACATTTGGAACTTCTCAACGATTCAATCACCAAACTGTCTGAGTTTAAAAGCCATAGCTAAAGATGTGGAGAGAAAGTACAAGTATAAGGATATTGCCACCCTATCCATATCTTATCAAAACTCAAAAAAAAAAAAAAAACTATAAAAATATCAGGAAAAAATCATAGGTGATCACATATATAATTTTTAAGTAGGATACGCCTTTCATTTGGTAGAGCAACTAATATCATAAAGTTAAAAAAAAAGACAACTGACTAGGAGAAAACATTTAATACATAAAGTTATTGTCTATAATATACAGAGCTCCTAGAAATCAATAAGGAGGAAAAACAGCCTAATAGAAATACAGGCACAGAATTAACATAAGAAATAGATGATAAATATATATAAAAATACTAAGATAATTAGTAATAAGTAAATGCAAAATTTTTGTGCTACCATTTTTCATTTATCAGATTGACAAATATAAAAAGATTGATAACACTCAGTTTAAAAGAGGGGTTGGAAATGGGCATTCCCGAATACTCCTGATGGGAGAAAATTTTGAGATTTGGATGCATGTGATTTACTGAGGAAATAGTCTAAGGAGAAAGAAAGTGAATGAAATGGGATAAATCAGGGGAAAGAGCTAGTCAAGGATGTGGACTCGGCTGGAGTCTGGCTGCATGGGGTCTTGCTCTTGCTCAGGATGGTCTTGAACTCCTGACCTAAAGCAATTCTCCTGGCCTTAGCCTCCCAGAGTGAGGGGATTACAGGCATGAGCCACCAGGCCCAGCCAGAAAGATCTATTTCTAAAGAAGTACTAAAATACATGTGAAAAGGTTATTTTCACTGCAGCACTGTCTGTAATAGCCATACAGTGGAATTCCTGTCATTGAAGAGTCAGATCCATATTTACAGTAACAAGACACAATCCTAACGACATATTGTTACATGAAGCAAGCATGTTGCAGAAAAATGCTAATCGTGTGACACTGTTTTTTTTACAGACAAATACCTGTGAATGTACATATACATAGTTTCATATGGATAAAAAAAAGTTGAAGTACATATACTAGACTGTTAATAATGATTATCTCTAGAAAGTATGATATAGGAGGGCAGGAGAGGGGACAAGAAGGAGAACTACCACTTTGTTATGGTCTTCATGTTGTCTGAATGTGTTTCAAGAATATATTACTTCTATGAAAAATAAACATTCTTAAAATTTAAATATATGTTAGAAAGTTTAAAAAAGTATCTACTTCTGATTTTCAACTTGAAAACCTTACAATAAAAGAAAACTAAAACTGGGCTGGGTGAGGTGACTCACATCTGTAATCCTAGCATTTTGGGGGTGGAGGCGGGAGGATTACTTGAGGCCAGGATTTCCAGACCTACCTGAGTAAGAGTGAGACCCCATGTCTACAAAAAATAGAAAAATTAGCCGGGTGTGGTGGTGTGCGCCTGTAGTCCCAGCTACTTGGGAGGCTGAGGCAGGAGGATCACTTGAGCCCAGGAGTTTGAGGTTGCAGTGAGCTATGATGACACCACTGCACGCTACCCAGGGTGAGAGAGAGAGAGAGAGAGAAAGAGAGAGAGAGAGAAGGGGGGAGGGAAGGAGGGAGGGACCACATCTTAAAAAAAAAAAAGAAAAAGAAAAGAAAACTGATTTCAGACTATGACTATGAGGAATATGTAGTTATCAATGTCAGTCAGAAAATATTTTAGCTTTTCATGGAAATCATCTGGAGTTAGAGAGGCACGGGATATCCACGATAGACAGCCAGCTACAGGGCCATGCCTAACATGGCTCCTTCCAGCCTTTTTGCTACCATGTTCCCTGCTAGCTTGTGAGCTCCTTGAAGGCATTTTGTTCTACCTTGAATACCTAGACCAATGCCTTTCAATTAAGAAATGCTCAATATATGTCTAGTGGTTGAATAAAACAGATGTGGAGGCAGAGACGAGACTTGGGCCATGATTCTTAGATTTCCAGATAAATGAGCCAAATTCATTTCTGTAGAACACTATTTTTAACAGAGGCAGTATAATAGTAAATCCTTGTGGTACATGTAGGGGATGATTCTGCTAGCCACAGAGCCTCTTCTCCAAAACTTGCCATTATTTCTCAAATATCAAAGTGTCAGAAGCAATTAAAAACAACAGGAGGAATAGAACAGATTTTAAACACAAGAGTATCAAATAAGAAAAAAAAGTGAGAGACAGAATGGTGTTATACTGACCAAGAAAAACCATTAAAAACTGAGAGTGAAAATCCTAATTTTGTGGTGTGAGTTTCTAAAGAGCAGAAAGCAGGTTTTCTTTCTCTCTGTAACCCTAGCACCTAGTACATAGAAGCACTTGATCATTTGTTATTAAATTAAGGGAGTTCGATTTGTGAATTAAATTGATATCAAAAATTCAATTTTTGACTGTTTATTTTCTAGACCTGAGAATTAAGAAAAAAGAATGAAAAAACTAAAGGATTTCTGAGGCCTTGTATTCCTAGGCTACAAAAAGCTGGATGAAATTTCTTACCAAGATGTACACTCTGCCATCTTGATCTTGAATAGTGAATCTAAAAGTGCTTCTAGCAGAGGAGAGTTCCACCAGGCACTGGGCAATCACGCTCTGGACAAACTGAGACCTGTTTAAAAAGAAATCAGTTTTCACAATGTGTCTCTCATAATAACTCTAACTGGCAAGATAAGCCAAAAATACCCACAGGGTACCTAAAAGGCAGAGATGTCAGCATGCCGGACTTCTATTCATCACCCATTCTCTCACAACCTGTGCTAATATGGATTTTAATATATTTTAACGTATCTATGTTTGCTCCATTCTTCTTAAAACCTACTCTCCAACCCTTAACACATTTTCCATCCCAAACCTAACTATTCCCCTCAACTGAATAAAAAAAAAAACCATGTCAGAACAAGTCAATATTCCATTATGCTGTAGCGCATTAAACAATGAATAACTAAATTGCAAAAGAAGATGAGAAATTTCTTCCCAAACATTAGACAGTATTGTCAGCAATTTTTTCCATTCGGATCTCCCTAAAGTATCAGCTCTAAGGTACAAAATCAAGATTTACAGGAAGATAAAATTCAAAGCTATATTCCGATTGCCATAATTTTTGGATATCAATAAATAAATTGAAATGAAGACATACCATAGTTAACTTCTGTTTACAAATTTAAAAAGATTCAAAGAAGGCCAGGCGCGGTGGCTCACGCCTGTAATCCTAGCACTCTGGGAGGCCGAGACGGGCGGATCGTTTGAGCTCAGGAGTTCGAAACCAGCCTGAGCAAGAGCGAGACCCCCGTCTCTACTAAAAATATAAAGAAATTAATTGGATAACTAAAAATATATAGAAAAAATTAGCCGGGCATGGTGGCACATGCTTGTAGTCCCAGCTACTCGGGAGGCTGAGGCAGGAGGATCGCTTGAGCCCAGGAGTTTGAGGTTGCTGTGAACTAGGATGACGCCATGGCACTCTACCCCGGGCAAAACAGTGAGACTGTCTCAAAAAAAAAAAAAAAAAAAAAAAAAAAAGATTCAAAGAAAAGAAACACTAATAGATTTAGTGGCTAAGTATCTTTTTTTTTAATACATAGGAGTTATTTGAAACTGACCCAGGTTTCAAATTTTAAATAGGTCAAAGTAAAACCACAAATTATTCAAAAACCTATTGATGATTAGGTTATAAGATCCTGGATATCTGACACATAGAAAGAAGCACAAAAAACTCTCAGAACTAGAAAATTTATATGAGCACATTTGTCCATACCATTACATAAGCAAAATATAAAGAAATAAATTCTTAAATCTTTTATATGTATGGTTTGATTCAACTGTCTAAAAGTCTTTCTCAGCTGGGCATGGTGGCTCACACCTGTAATCCCAGCATTATTGGACGCTGAGGTGGGAGGATTGTTTGAGCCCAGCAGTTTAAGACCAGCCTGGGCAACAGAGCAAGATCCCAACTCTATAAAAAATTTTAAAATTAGCCAGGCACAGTGGCTTGTGCCTGTAGTCCCAGCTACTCACGAAGCTGAGGTCGGAAGATGGCCATGAGCCCAGGACATGCCACTGCACTCCAGCCTGGGCAACAGGGCAACAAAGCAAGATCTTGTTTCTAAAAAATAATAATTCAAAAAAATGAAAGGGCAACAGGGCAACAAAGCAAGATCTTGTTTCTAAAAAATAATAATTCAAAAAAATGAAAACCCTTTCTTAAAGGCTTTTTTTATTCCTTTCCAAATTAGAATGGTATGAATAAAAATAGATTCCTGAATGATGAACTGTACCTCCCTCTTCCTGCATATGAAATTACAAAATAAACTTAATTTGCTATTTGTACCTTGGTATGATCAGAAAACTTCTATCAGATGGCTGAATAATTATCTCTGTCATATAAAACTTAGTGGTTTCTAGAAGCAAAAGAGAAGAAAATTAAGACTCTCCCCAATACAGTAATAATTTTATTGTGGCCATGTTGGTCTCCAATTGTGAAATTCCAAACTAAATATTCAACATACTGGTGAAACTAAACAGCCAGTAAATATTTTCCAAAAACTACTTAGGTTCAGAAGACAAAGCACTGGTGACTATAGGAGATAGTTCTGAAACTTCAGACAGCACAATGTCTTTTTAGAAAATCATACCCGAAGTGAATCTGTTGCAGCAAGACTCTGCTCACACATTTGGAAGGTTATAAAAATTAGTCACATCACAGTCATAGTCCGCTTATGCCAAAATTAGGCGCTGAGTTTACTCATTTCTATAGAACACCTACAAAGCTGAAGTAACCAAAAAAGGTTTTTTAATCATAGTATCCTAAAGCCTGTGCACAGACGCTGTGAACTTCAGCATCAGTATTTATCAAGAATCTCACTGACTCTGTTAACACACAATTCTCACCAAATTTGGTTACTTGATTACTTAGTTTTTAAAATTTTAAACAGCAGACTAGATATTTAATAGATATGAATGTAAACACAATCATCTTGGATTAAAAAATGTATGAAAATATTTAATTTCACTAGCAATGAAGGCAATGCAAATCAAAATAAGATTCATTTTAGCAACAAACAAAACATTTTTAAAGGATAAGGTACAGTACCGGAAACACTTATGAGAAGTGGATATGCTTATTCACATACTGCTGTGATAATTGAAAATGACAGATTTCTGGAAAGCTGCTTGGCAAAGGCCTTAAAATTGTGTATATATTTAGACACCAAAATTAAGTACCTAAGAATTTATCTCAAAGAAATACTCATGGATATATGCAAAAACTGACCTATAAAGATGCTCATAATAATAGAAAAATGCTGAAAACAAATTAAATGACTAAAAATTGAGAATGGGTTAGATAAGCAATTATATACTTAGGTAACAGAATCCCATGCATGTTTCACATTTTAAATAAGTCAAATTAAAACCAGAAATAATTTAAAATGGTGTTGTCATTAAAAATGGTGCTGTCAAACAATTTTTAATAAGACAGAATATTATTCCTGGTAGATTTTTTGAAAAGTTATTAATTGCTCAATATTATACACAGAAATGGGCAAAAAATGAAATCAATAGATAGTTTAATAGATTATTTTACAGAGAGAGCCATGATGATAGATTTACCTATTTCTCCTTGAAGTTCTGTAAATTTTTACTTCATTACTTTGATGTCATGTTATTAGATGCAGAATTAATCCTTTTAATACTATGAAGTGATACCTTTTATCCCCACTATTAATCTACAATTTAATTCTATAATTTTAATCCCACAGGTATTATTATTGTTTTATACAATTAACATTCATTTAGTGACATTCATATATTTACTGCTTTCTTTACCAGTCCTTCTTGACCTTAAACCTTCTATCTGGGGTCATTTTCTTCTACCTGAGTACAGGCAGAATTTCTTTTAATAAGAAACCGCTAGTCGTGAATTATCCCAGTTTGTGTTGTCAAAAAAATATATTTATCTTTGCCTTCATTCTTGAAGGACATTTTCACTTTATACAAAGTCCTAGGATCAACAGTTATTCCTCTGTGCACATTGACAGTATCATTCCACTGTCTTCAAACTTCCGTTACGGCTGCTCCTTTGAAAGTGATCTGTCACTTTTCTTTAGTTACTTTTAAAACTTTCTCTTTGCTTTTTATTCTTCCGTCTTACTCTGATGTATGGATTTCTTTTTATTTACCTTACTTGGGCATCATTGAATTGAAATTCATTGTTCCTCCTGAATCTACAGATTGTTGTTCCTTATCACTTTTGTAAATTACGATTCTCAGCAATTATCTTTTCAAATATTGCCTATGCTCCATTCTTTTCCTCCCGGAAGTCTGATTAAACATTACATCAGATTTTGTCTCACTCTATGTTCTATGTCTCTTACTCTCTCTTCTATAGTTTTTGCCTTTTGTCTCTCTGTGCTGAATTACAGATTTTTCTTGTCATTTATCTTCTGTTCATTAATTCTTTAAGTGGTACCTAATCTGCTATTAGATAACCCACTGAGTTTTTAATTTCAAGTATACTTTTCTAGAAATTCTATCATGGATCTTTCTCAAAGTTTCCTTTTCCTTGCAGCTATCTTCAAACCTTTTATATCGTTAAATGTACTAAGCATGGTTGTTTTACAGTTTACATATAATTCCAGTAAGAATTCTATTTCCATTGTTGCCTGTTTTTGTTAATCCTTGATGATAGAAGTCTAGTTTACTTGTGTGCCTATTTATCTTTGGTTGTATGCTGAATACTATAATTGAAAAATTATTTGTGGGAATAATATGAGTTTTACAATGAAGGTATTTCCCTCTAGAGGTGATTGGCATTTGATTCTGCAAGGCAACTGAGGTTATGCCTAGTCCAAGGCAGACTAAACCAAGTTTAAGATTGGAAATTTCCTAAAGTCCCAAAGGATGGATACCTGTCCATAATTCTACAGGGATGTTCCACTTCTGATTTATCTTCACTGTAAGGCTATGGCCTTCAAGATCTCAAATTTTTTGTGGACACAGCTGCTTCTTAGGTTCCCCATCTTGCATAGTCTTTGATTTCTATCCTTAATTCTCAAAGCAATCCAAATAAAAGTTTTAATGCTAGAGAACTGGCAAATTGCGGGGAAAATATGGCTTGAATTTTGTGCCTCTTTTGAGTTTGCTTTTGTGGTAAGTTACCCACATATTTTCCACTTCCCCTGCTCTTTATTACTTCCTGTAGATTCCAGTTACTACCTGATATTTTTCGCTTCAGCCCAAACAACTTCCTTTAGCATTTTTTGTAGAGCAAGTCAGCTAGTAATACATTATTTCCATTATTTATCTAGAAACATTCTTATTTTGTCTTCATTTTTTAGAGACAGTTTTGCTAGATATAGCGTTGTTGATAGATATGTCTTCTATCCCCACAACACCGCCCCCACCAACCTGTACTTTGTATTTCTTTTCTCAGTGTCTTTTTCAGTGTCTTTTGGCTGTCGTCATTTCTATGAGAAGTCCATCTTAATTGTATTATGAAATCCCATACATACGATATTTTATCTTTCTCTTGCTAATTTCAAGACTGTCTCTTTATCTTTCAGCAGTTTGACTACAACATGTCTGGGTGAAGTGTTTTTGTGTTTACCTTACTTGGGGTTCATTGAAATTCTTAGATCTAAAAGTTACTATTTTTTCACCAATTTTTCCATGTTTTCAGATAGTTTTTCCACAAATTTTTTCTGATCCTTTCATTTTCTCCTTACCTTTTGAGACTCCACCTACATGTCTGTTGAAATACTTGATAGTCTCACAAACCTGAGGTTCCATTCCTTTTCCTTCAGACTTCTGTTTGATTAATTTGTAATAATCTACAAGTTCAATTAATCTTTTACCTTTTGTCATCTCAAATCTGTGGTTTAGATCATCTGGTGAATTTTTCTTTTTAGTTACTGTACATTTGAACTCTAGAATTACCAATTTGCTTTTGACATTGCCAATTTGTTGAGATTTGCTATTTGTTCACTCAAAGGTTTTTTTAAAAAAAATTCTTTATCATATTTATAACAGCTGCTTCAACATCTTTGCTGCTCAGTCCAATTTTTGTGCTTACTCAGCACCTGTTTATTGAGTCCTTTTTTCTTAAGTATGAATCATTCTGTTTCTTTGCACATCTAATAATTTTTGGACAGAAATAGGACATTGTATGCAATAGGCTGTAGCAACTCTGGATTTTGTTTTGCTCTTCTGAAGATTGTTGGTTTATTGGTATAATACTCAACTAACTGGCCTGGACTAAAACTGTGAAATATGTCTCCCTACAATGTGTAGCCACTAATATCTCTGTTCAGTTTTAATTGTTTAGTCTGGGTCCCTAGAAAGTATCCACTGTACCTGCATAGGTTAGCTATCAGCAAATAATTTGGGGAAAGGTTCTGCTCAAATACCTCAAACTAGTAAGGCTTCTTACAAAAATCACCTTTTGCTGCCCAAGTGTGTATGTGGACTGAGGAATGTAATCAAAGCCACAGCAAATTCACAGGTCTCCCTAAGCTTTCAAAAAAACATACAACCATAGTCCCTGGTATCTGTTGTGTGTGTACAGTTTAGCAGTCAGCCAGAGTTGTGTGAAGAAGTTATCTCAGCCCTTCTATGACCCTTTCCTTTCAATATATCCTCCTTAAATTTCTACTTTCTTTGCCACATGCCCTGAACCAAACCCACCACCTGTAGACCGTAAAGCTGTGGGGGTTTCCTGCCCAAGTTGAGGGGAAGACAACTCCCCCTCCCTGCCAGGAAAATGGTCACAAACTTGCCATTTTTTCCCCAATACAGTAGCAATTTTTCATGACTTAAATACTCCTCATATTATTGCTTCATTTTGTTTATTTTCCAGTGCCCTAATACGGTTGTTCTTTATAATTTTTTAACTTACACAGTTTTGTACTTGTTTTCTACAGAATGGAATTGTTCATTCTCTTAATGCCACTATTTTTGGAAGTGGAGTCCTATTGATTTACAGTAAATGTGAATATACCTCTTATACTATCCCCCCCAACATTAACACATCATGACTTCCTAATATACTTATGTATTATACTACAATGTTCGGTTACATGAATATTCAGTGTTTACATTATTATGACCATAATGATACCATGGAGATGTTTTCTTGTTCAACCTTGTTTTTTCTGAAGTGAATAACTGCTTCAAGCACGTTTAGCTAATTCTTCCCATATGATGAACTGGCTTATCTCAAGATTATTTTGTTACATGTGGTCAAACAAATCAAAGAATGTATCAATTCCACTTTATAATTTCAAAAATCTTTACTGCAATCTTCTCTCCCCTTGCTTTAATCCAGGCTGTTATTCCCTAGGCCTGCTGCACACCCCTCATCCTGCTACCTCCTTACCTTACTCTCCTGTATTGGAGAACTTGCTTCCCCAACCCCATGTCATCTCTTTCTAGGTTAAATCCCTAGTTTGGGTGACATATATATATCCTATGGTAGATTCCTAATGAAAATATACCTTTGAAGTCTATGTTCTGAGACTTTGTTATTTCCAAAAGTGCATTTAGTATCTTCATATTTAACTCATGGTTTGGTTGTGTCTAGAATTCTGGGTTGAAAATGTTTTTCCTTTCAAATTATGAAGCCATTGCTTCACTGTCTTCTAGCTTTCAGCTCTGCTGTTAAGAAGTTCAATGCTATGTTGTTCCTAATCCCTTGTATACTAACTGCTTTTTTCCCCTGTGGAAACTTCACCCATGGTATTCTGAAATTACTCAGTGATGTGGCCTGGAGTGGCTTCCCTGTCATCCCTCCATTAACTACACTGGTCACTTAGTGGACCCTTTCAGTTGAGAAACTGAAGTCCCAGCTCTGGAAAATAGTCTTGTAATAAATTTTTACTATTTTTTTCCTTTGATTTTGTCTACACCCTGTTGTTTCTATTCTCTCTTTCTAGAATTTCTATGAGCTAGATGTTGGTTGTCCTGAAAGGCTCAATTGATCTATTCATTCAACAGATATTTACTAGGTACTCACTATGTGCCAGACATTACTGTAACTGCTGAGGTTACAGGGATAAACAAGATAGACAATGTCCCTATCTTCAGTAAACTTATATGATAATATATTTTTAATATTTCTTCTCTAATTTTTAATCTCTATCTTTTGGTTCTGATTTCTGAGACAGTTCCTTAATTTTATCTTCCAGTTCTTGGGATTTTTTTTTTTAAGCTATTAGTTTTTTTTTTTTTTTTGGAGACAGGGTCTCCCTCTGTTGCCCAGGCTGGAGTACAGTGTTTCACTGTAACCTCAAACTCACGGGCTCAAGTGATCCTCCTGCCTCAGCCTCTCAAGTAGCCAGGACTACAGGTGAGTGCCACCACGTCCAGCTAACTTTTTTTTCTTTTGTAGAGATGAGGTCCTACTATGTTGCCCAGGCTGGTCTACATAATTTGTTTCTTCTCAGTGCTTTGAATTTGTTTGCTTGCTTATTTATTTGCTTTGGTTTCTTTTATGTTGGAGATTTCCTCAAACACTCGGTGATTCTCAGCAATCCATTTGTATTTAAGTGTAAAACAATAAAATGCTGAGAGGAAGCTCTTGGACATATGTACAAGGCTTGTTGACTACACAATGGATGAATATAAGCTCTATTTTTTTTAGGGATGGGGTCTCACTACATTGCCCAGGCTGGAGTGCAATGGCTGGCTATTCAGAGGCACAATTATAGTGGACTACATCCTCGAACTCCTCGGCTCAAGTGATCCTCCTGCTTCAGCCTCTCAAGTAGCTGGGACTACAGGTACATGCCACTGTGCCCAGCTTAAGCTCATTTTTGTTGAATGACAATATAAGTTCATTTTTGGTTGAATGACCCCAAAGAATCAGTGTCAACAAGTCTTTTCTCTAGTTGGTAGTCTTCCATATTTCAACAAAAAGGGTCCTCCAATCTCCTACCTTGAGGATTGTAGAAGCAAGCTGAAAGTAAAGTAGGAAACCTAGAAGTCTAATAGCTACATAAATAAACTTTCAACTAATCCTGCTTTTCCAGCTCTTTGCCTCAGACTGCCTTTCCTGTTACCTGCTGCCTCCAAATTCTGACCTTTTATGGGGCTCTACAGTCAGCATGGGCTCACTGCTCATCCAAACGATCTTCAGTAGACACCGAGGCTGCAGCTTCTTTCACACTGCCAAGTGAGTTTCAAAAAAGTTTGCTTACATCACTTGTTTATGTCATTGTTGTCTCCTCTCCGTTTCTCTTTGTCTTTGTAGATATACATCTTTTTATTCCTTAACTGACATTTTAATTGGACTTCAGGGAGGAGAAAAAGATTTAGAAATCAATTCACCTTATTTAACCGAAAGCCTTAACATTTTCTAAGATGTTGCTTATGGGGCTTGCTTTCATTCTCCAAAAATGACACTGAGGACGGCATCCTTTACTACTACTCACTCTTCCTTTTCTGCTCACTCTGAGCAAGTGACTACTTGCAAGAATCCGATCATTTAAAAAAACAAACAAATACCACCATCTGCCTTTCATTAAGTACAACAGCTTTGCTTAAATTACATCTTCTAATTAATTATATTAAAAGCAATTATTCATCACCCACAAGCTTACACAGCATGTTGTAGCTTCCTAGACATTTAAACCGTATCTTTAAATAGCAATGTATTTTAAATATCGAGATTTTCATTATTATATTTTAAAGTAACGTAACATAGAGTTTATGTAAAGTATAATTAACACTGCTAGGAAAAAAGAATAAGCAACAACGTACAAAACTAAGAATGTGTTTTCTTCCATTTCAATAGGTCCTTTCCCACCCCTAACCAGAAAGTACAGCCCTAAGGCAGATGGCAGCCAAGAAAAGCAACTTCTCCATCTCTGGGCACCAACTCTTCTGATTGAGAAGGTATATTAAGAAGAAAGCTCTAGTCTTCTTAAGATAGACCCAAGTACAAACTTTATATTATTGCTTTCTGTCTATCTACAAAGAAGATATGAAATACTGAAAATGATCCAGCTTCTAAATGCTTAAGACTTAATATTCTGGCTTATAAAGGCCAAAATATACAAACTTCTAGGCTTATTGGATGATATGTTAGTTGGTTTCTATTTTGAAAAGCATCAATTCTAAAATATATATTAATCATCTATTTTACCTATATATTTACTATAAAATCTCATTCTGGCTTTTAAACAAGAAGGCAATCATTTTGGCTTTTTGTTATGAAATTCTTACCTGATGACACGGTCTCTCCCAACATTACCTTGCAACGCTTACAAATTACTTTGGTATTTGCCTTTGGTTCCTGCAGAACAGAAAATGTCATTTAAATGTCAGTCAGCTTTTCTTAAAAGGAATATATAATTTTAACATAGTCCCTAGAGTATACATTGAACTTTACATTTTATTCTGCCCCCTACTAAATACTGGGAATACGTTTAGCTTGTGAGCATAATTCATATGCACAGCAGTAATTTTTTCAAATCTTAAAACCGAATAATACACAGACTGACTTTTCCAAACCTAGCCACTTCTTGGTAATCCAAATGTTGCCAAATAATTTGAACAGGAAGCACCTTACATTTCTAAAAAGCAATTCCAAATAGCCTTATAATTTAGAACAGGTATATGGTGGACAACAAAAACAGAGAGGGCTGATGATTTGCTCCAAATCGTGCATAAAATCAGAAGGATCAGAACTTGAACTCATATTATTTTGATTCCTAGTCACTGTAATTTATGTAAAAGTAATCTGTAACTCATAACCACCCATAATTGAAAAGTTAAAAATATCTAACCTGTTCATATAATTCTATTTTTTCCACTTAAGATATGCACTATAATTGGAAAGATGACTAGTATTCCGGGACAAATTCTTGAAACATTCTTAAACTTCAAAACTTCAAACATTATTAAACTTCAAAAATCCAAATTCATTATTCGGAATACACAGATTAAAATAGCTAGCGTTCACCTAATCATAAACCAAGAATGCTCCTTTGCACATCCATAGTTATACCTTTGTTAAAGCCACACAACACTCCTCTAGCCCAGACACACTGCAGCATGGCAGAAGCCATACAAAGTGGACAGGGAAAAGGAAATTCTGCAACTCCAGACACTTGAGGTTACCTTTCTAGGGAAACTGCAGAAAAGAGTGTAGGTCAAAGTAAGGAAAGACAATGAGTTTTTGATGTGAGATAACATATGTAGTAACCTAAGGAATAAGTCTTAACTAATCAATTTGAGTATAATTATTTTCCCTAGGCATAAATAACTATTTCCTGAAAAGTTACATAAGAAGCACATTTCAATTGAGTTTCATGGACATGCTGCTAGTAACTGAAAGAGCTGATGTTTGAACCCAGGTCCCACAAATGCTGAGGCTTCTGAACACTATGCTAATTGTTTTACAATCCACAGGTCACACACCATTAGTGGGAACCAATTCAGGGGGTTATAGTTTGTATTTTTTAAGCGAAATACAATAGAAAATATGACAGTGATTCAAACATTAGATAAAAGTATTGCTTCAAGAAACTTTTATTTAAGATGTGCTTGTGTATGTGTGTGTCTGTGTATGTTATCAGATCCTGATGTAAAAAATGTATTTACTTTAGTTAGAGGTCAAAAAGTCAAAAGTAACCGTGCAACTTATATCAGGGTTTTTCTCTGTGATTCATTCTTTCACCCAACCACAAATCTATGCTACTAGTAAAAATCCATAAATGCCCCACAGCTCTTCCCTACATGAAGAATTCCTGAGATGAATCCCTTCATATACTGAAAAAATCTTCAATAATATAAACACTTATCCCATTTTCCCCTAGTCTAGCTGCAGTATTTGGACAGATTCTCCAGTCTTTCTCTAAAAGTCTCTGCTGAGAAAACAAAAGCACACATGAGCTCCATAAGTCAGTTCAGACCTGGTTCAAACATTTACCCAGGCACACTCATGAAGTGGGCCCCACAGAGTGTGCCATCTCTGGTCTTTGCTCGCACATCCTTGTTTATCTGGCACATTGCCAACAGCAGGTCTCAGAGCCTGGCCCAGACAGGTGACTGGATGGGGTCATTCCCATCAAAGGTAATAGAAAGATACAGAAACCTAGGAAGGCACCAATTTGTTCAGGTCCAGGAAGAAGAGAGCTCAGAAGGCCAGTATGGCTGATGCAAAGGTTGACATTTTGGCAGTTTCATGCTTTCTTACAGTGAAACATATCTATGTGACCCCAAACTGGTATTACAAATACTTTTTAAAGGATACTATTTTGTACAAGTTAAATTTGACCACCCTCATTAAATCTTACCAAAAACTATGGGCTTTACTAAAAGCTAATACAGAGCATAGGAGTAGTAGTGCTTGAGAAAAAAGGATTTTTCCATTTGAAGCAGAAAATTTTTTCTCAGATGCTCTGTTATGTAGTTCATTTATAATTGCTCTCACAGAACATTTTGCTTTGTCTTTCGAGGAAGGAGGATAGTGTTTTTTGTTTTTAAAATAAGATTCAACCCTTACCAGACATGAGTAATCAGGATTTAAAAATCTGATCAACAAAAAGCCAATTACCTCTAACAACCAAATGTTGTTCAAACAAACCTATAGTAAAAGACACTTTTAAGACAATTCATAAAATTTGTATATGGCCTGGTATTATATCATCAAGGAATAATTATTAATTTTATCAGATGTGATAACGACAGTGTGATTATGCAAAAAAAAATCCATATCTTCAGACATACATATCAAAACAAAGAGGGATGAAATGACATAATGATTGAGACTTGTTTCAAATCATTTTAGCAAAAATAAAAAGCAAAGCATACTTGATGAATCAAGATGATTGGCATATTGAAGCTCACAATACTATTCTTTTTATACTTGTGAATATTTACAAAGGTGAACATATTTTTCTAAGAACACAAAAAGAGACACATTTATGGATTTAACAAATCACCAAAATCAATAAATTATTACTAAGTACCCCAAGAAAGCAAAAAAGGTTGTCAGTCACACTTGTCAGCAATAATATAATCAAAGTTCGATTTTGTTTGTTTTTTAAAAAAACAGAATAAAGTTATCAGTGTGGCTATACTTTCGAAGTCTTGAATAACGTCAGGAATCTTATAAAAGGAAGAGATGCCATCTTTATCATTCTATTATAAGATGCAAAATTTTTATTATGTTGGTAGACACCAAAAATAGCATAAGAGATGACAAATGAATATAAGAACAGGGAAACCTTCAGCAGATATGTTTTGAAAATAAAAACTACATAGTACCACACTGACCATGGCTCAAATAAGGTACTATAAACTCTAACAGGGTACTGAAGAAAAATATTGTCAGGCTTAATCTTTATTTGTGTTGTTTTTAAAGCTAGATCTTTTTAATTAAAATATTATAACATGTTAACTTTGTTTAAAGAGAATCTCTGCTTTGTAGTACATGTTTCTTCACCTATGCTTCGAGGAAATAATAAAGTTGTGCAATGAAGCAGCCTAACAGTGTGGGAACTCAACAGAGCAAGCCTTGAAGAAAGACATTATTGTGGACTAATTAAATCAATATATTTGAGAGATGCCAGTGCTGCTCAGAGAGGTGGATTAGCCTTCTGTCCTCGCTTTTATTTTCCTTTGTGTTGTTTCAGTTTCTAAGGACCCTTGATATTGTCTTACCAAAAAAATGTTTCCCAAGGGATACCATTAGGATGCTTTGTCACCATGTGACATTTCAAAACCCTGCTAGATGGCTAGACTGGGGGATATGAGAAATAGGTTTTCAATAGCACAGAGCAGCGTTGTTCCCACAGGAGCATTGAAAACACTGTTTAAGCAGTCCCTCCAAATTTATGTTACTATTTTGGTCACAGGCACACTCTTTCAACTGCTACAATATGCAATTAATGTGAAACTTCCATCCAGGCTAACTTGGAAACAATCTTGTCAATAGCAGCTTATCATGATAGTACATGATTTCCCACAGTCTCCTTGATACTAAAAACTTTAATGTCTAAATATGAAGGGTCGTTCTTTAATGCATAAGATGGTTGTTTACAATGAAGAGAAATTCTTATAAGTGGCACGGCATAACTGATAAAGATGTAAATGTGAAGGATATATTTCGGCATAGAGTGCAGTTTATCTACAAAGGGAAATATGGTTTCTCTCATTTAATCTTTCTCCATTCCTTTTCTGCTCATATCCCCCAAATATATTTAAAATGTATAGCTTAATCACAAAAATAAAAGTTAAAACATACAATAATAAAATATTAGTATACAAACTTAGGTTAAAAATACAAATTTAACATAATCATATTAAATATAATTATAAATTTACATTAACTTCTTATCATTTACCTTTTAAAAATATAGAGTGCTAAAGTACTACATTTCACTAAAGTAAACCATATTTAGATAAAGGGATTTCCGTTTATAGTGACAGATAAGGCACTAAAATAATTTTAACTGACCACAACTAAACATCACTATTTGATGAATTTCCTTAATCTCCGTTTACAACCTAAGAGCCACCCAACTGCTGCATGTTTCCTACAGTAGCTCAGATCTTGTTAGAAAAATTGAATGAGTTCTAAATGAAATTTGAAACACAATGCTTTTGTTCCTACCAATAATCAGATGTTAAAATGATTCTCTGGCAATGATTTTCATTACTTTTTAAATGAAATCTATATTGACTGGCTATCAGGAAAATTATTTCTCATAAGGGCCAAGCCAACGCCATTGATTTTCTTTTAAAATAAAGTAAACCACTTGCTCTCTGCAGTGTGAGGAAATTGCCTTCCCCCTGAAGCAACTTACATAGCAATAGCCACCTGACCTCACCTGACCTTCAAAGTCAAGCACCAACTTAGAACCTGAAACACTAGTTCTATCTCCATTCCTGGACTTCTCCATTTCCTCTTTTTCCTTGATGGCATCTGCATTTATGACTTCAGCAGAAGTCTGGACTATGGACAGAAACAGTAAAACACCTAGGGGCCTAACTGTAGGGTAGATATCCTGGAGCAAGAGAGCACTTTTAATTTAAATCAGACTATTTAGGATAAAATGCACCCAGATTATGAAATACTGTCCTAAAAATAAGAAAGTAGGGCATTTTGGTTGTAAAACAGTAGCACTCTCAAGACTATGTGTGAAGTCCTCTTCTCCTTATTCCTCCAGGCCCCCTGTGGCTGTTTCAGTTTAAGGCCATATGTTCTTCCTGTATCAACAGAGCAGAGCTGGAGAATAAAGGCAGTTAAAAAGAATGGATTTTGGCCTTTAGAACAGTCTGTGTAATAAGCCCTGAATTAAGAAAAGACTGAAGAACCCAGTGTCTAAGCCAACCTCTAAATTAGCATTTATTTTGAAATGATCTTTTACCGGTTTAAAATGGTTCTTGGAAGAAAGACAGCGCATCTCCGCTGGGGATAATTCAGGTCTTGGATGCCACAAATCAGTTCTTAAATTCACCAAGAAGAAAGCGTCTCCAATAAAACAGTCATTCTCTTGTGGATGAAGTGGCTTATCAGCAAAAGGGTCAGGATGACAACACCATTCTCCAACGAGAGCTCCCCAGTTCTCACTCGGCAGTGGGAGCACCCTGAGGAGCTTCCTAGTGGAAAGAGGAAAAACTATTTTTCACAGCACAAAATGAACCTAACATTTTCTTAAAGAAATCAGCATGAAAAATGAAAGAAACTCATCAACCATATGGCTTGCAATGTTAATTTTTCCCCCAATTATAAAAGTATTATATACTCACTGTAGACAATTTTAAAAGTGAAAAGAAGTATAAAGAAAACAAAAATCATCCTTTCTCACTGCCCAAATATAAGTAACTATTTTTTACATGGTTGTACATTTCTTTGCCATCCTTTCAAGAGATACATTTGTACATATGCATGCAAAATTTGGGATCAGTGGATATACATAAACTGTATCTTGCTTTTGTTGTTTTATTTAGTCATATCATTGTTCTTAATAACTCCACAATATTCAATTCCATAGGTATGTCAAAACTTTTAAGATCATTCCCTCACTGTTAGATATTTAGGTTTTGAGTTTTTCGTTATCAATATCCATGTGATGAATATTCCTATAGAAAATTTGTGTACACATCTGATTATTTCCTTGGGAAAAAAATCTTATGTGAGGTGATAAGCACAAATGATATGCATATTTTAAAACCCAACACCCATCTGGTGAACTTCTTTCCAGAAAGGCTGTACCAACCCATAATTCTTGCACTTACCCTCTTCACAATTGACTACTATCGTTTTTCCATCTTTCCACAAGTAATGAGTGAAAATAATCTCAATTACTGGTGAGATTGAATGGGTTTTCCTATTTATTGACCACTGTGTTTCTTCCATGAACTGTGATCAATGATTCTTTCCCAACGAGGTGTTAGCATGTTCCTATTAATTTGTAAAAGTATATTCTATATTAAGAATATTAGGCCGGGCGCGGTGGCTCACGCCTGTAATCCTAGCACTCTGGGAGGCCGAGGCGGGCGGATTGTTTGAGCTCAGGAGTTCGAGACCAGCCTGAGCAAGAGCGAGACCCCGTCTCTACTAAAAATAGAAAGAAATTAATTAGACAACTAAAAATATATACAAAAAATTAGCCGGGCATGGTAGCGCATGCCTGTAGTCCCAGCTAGTCGGGAGGCTGAGGCAGGAGGATCGCTTGAGCCCAGGAGTCTGAGGTTGCTGTGAGCTAGGCTGATGCCACAGCACTCACTCTAGCCCGGGCAAAAGAGTGAGACTCTGTCTCAAAAAAAAATAAATAAATAAAAGAATATTAGCCCTTTGTCTATCATCTATTACAAATTTTCTTGGTGTTATCTGACAGTGTCTCAAGATTAGACTGGGGTTATGGGTTTGGGGGAAGAATCCCACAGAGATAAGGTGCCCTTCTCATCACATCGTATCAGAGGGTACGTGACTTATCATTGGTGATGTTAATCTTGATCACTTGGTTAAGGTGATACCTGCTAGGTTTCTCCTAACAGAATACTAATAAATTAAGGTACATTTAGATGTTGTAAGTTAAAGTATGTAAGATGTGAACATATCATTTTTTAACAATTCCCCCATGTTAACCATCATTTTTTGATTCCTCAGTCCACTATGAGTCTCATAAAACAGTAATTACTTCGGAAGAAGGTAGACAATTTCTAACTGCAGAGGACAGAGCAAGGCTGATTTTAGTTTAATATAGGGAAGAACTTTCCCTTTCACATTAGGATATGCTGCACTACTGGCATCATCAAGCTGCTGAGCCTGTTAAGGATATTGAGAAGTAATTCTTTCAATACATTTCCTAAAAGTCTGCTGTGAATTAGGCATTCTGCTGGCACAAAACATAAATACAAACAGTCCCTTCTCTTAAGGTACTCATGTTCTAGTAAGAAATATAGATCTATAAACAAATAATAAAACCATATGTAATACATGCTCATAACAGAGTAATGGTTCTAAACTCTTAGGAGCAGGGGAGTAGCACAGAGCCCTTTGAATATTTGATAAGAGCATTAGCTCCCTCCTCAAACATACATTCCCACAAGCACGCAAAATATGCATATTATTTTAGTGGATTCATAGGTTCCCCAAAACCAATCCATGAATTCAGGTCAATATACATAAAAGTGTTAGGGGAGTAAACTGTACATGGATTTCAGAGAAGAGGTAATATCTGAGCTGGCCTTTGAAGAATAAATAGTAGTTCTCCAGACAATAAAAGGAATTAAGAGCATCATGGAAGAAACAAAATGAAGGTAGATGCCATATCTGTTTACCTTACTACTGTATTCCTACTGTCTGACATAGCAGCGTAAGCCTTACAGTGTAAGCTCTTAAATATTTGTTAAAGAAATGAACTAGCATATTTTAATAACTATAACACATTGGGCCCCCGGTTAGGTCTGTTGCATACTGGGATTAAAGGGTTAACAAACCTTTTCCCTTGCTGCTTGAGAAGTCTGACCTTTGGTTTAACTATCTAGCCCTGTTACCCTGGAAACCAGGTAAGATATTAGACATGGACTGTATCACTAGGCAACAGTGCTTACGGTAAAAATAATTCCCTGAACTGGGAAGAACTACGAATGAGCTTATATGTCTGATGAGCGTGCCAGGCTTTGGGCTTCCTTGAACAAAATCTTTTGTGGGGAACCCTACAAACTATGCCCAAGAATTGTTACAAGAGATATTGGATGCTTAAGGCATGTGGCTTCTTCTAAGCCAGGGCAGCTCCAGTACCTCCCTCATGTAGATCTTGTGTCTTGTACCTAGAACTATGTCATGTGGGGAGACAAGAATCCCCAGACAGGTATGTGAGCTGTCACTTGCCATAAAATGCTCCAGAGCCCCTGCTGAGAGGAATTCTTGATGCTGCCCCCCCCCACCCCCGGCAAGAAAGGTGGCCTGTGGTAGTCTTGTGAGTCTGCATGTTTAGTCGAACTTAAAAAGACCCCTGGTGAGCACTACACACGCCTTATTCCATTTAATGTTCACAACAACTTTGTGAGATAAGAAATACCATTCCTCTGTTACAGAGGAAGAAAGTGAAGCTCAGAAGTGTTACATAATCTACATAAGTTCACGCAATGAGAGGTGATCAGCAATGCCAGCATCTTAACCCAAGTCTTCCTGGCTCCAAAGCAAAACTCTTTCCCTTGGAATATATTCCCTTCTCTGGCAATGTGGAATAGCCATAGAAGAGACCAGGCAGGTGGGATGGTGGCAGACTGTGTGAGGTGTTATGAGCCACACTCAGGGATGGGGACTTGGTCCTACAGATAAGCAGGAAGCATTATAGAATTTTAAGCAGGCAAGTGACAGGTCCGATTTGAATTTTTACCAAGAAGAAGAAGAAGAAGAGGGCAAACAAGTTACCTGTTTAGAGTGGGACTTAGGCCTAAATAGGCTCCTAGACCTTCTCTATCATTACGATTCTCTGTCCCCTGACATTCTGCATGTAGTGTAAATAAACAAACCCTCAATATAGTGCAAAAGACAAAATATCACAATCTCATTTGTGATCAAGGAAATGAAACTGTACCAAGATTTACAGTGACCTGAGAGACAATTCACATTAACACAAAATACGATATTTTAAACTTAACTTGCTTGATGCCATATCATAGTGAATAAAAGCTATAATGTATCCTATAACCATCTCCATAATGCATCAGGGGCAAGAAAGTACCTAATTCACAAGTCACTGCAAAGATAAAAGGGTTTTTATGATAGAAAAAAATTTTTCTGATGTTTTGGAAAAACCATAAAACCTTTAAGAACAAAAGATGTATTTTAATCACAGCTCTACTTAAAGTATATCTATCTAAAACTCTGAGAAGCATACTTTGATACGATCTACTTCTCAAGAGAACTTTCAAAATAAAATAGATACCATTTTTTTCCAGGTAGTTTTTAGGTAAAAACCTGCTGAACCTCAAAAAAAGAGTGAAATGATTTCTTAAATTTTCTCTCAGCTTAAGATTCTATGATGAACAGCAACACAGGTTTATAGCAAATTAAAATTTGCTAGTTATTTTTAATGCATCTTGAGCACAAACTTTTAGAAAATGATAAAATATACAACTTTAATGAATGCTATTGATTGATGATGTATTTAACACTTAAATATATACACAAGAAAATGTATGCCCCTTAAAGTTACAGAAAATAAGAAAATAAAGAGATGAAAAAAGAAAAAATAAAGAATAAGAAAATAAACATATACACAAGAAAATGAAATGCCCCTTAGCTTTAAAATCAACCATTAATCAGTGATAATAACAATTTTAATAACACAAAGCTTTTATAGGTTGGGTAATAACCAAACAGACATTAAGAATCTTAAGAATAACATCAAATATCTAAGGCTCAAAATATGGCTGCTGAAATTTAGATATTAATAAATTCAAGTGACATTCTCCAACTGGTATACCACAAATCCTATAAAACTAGCTTTGCATTTTAATACTATTATGTACATAGTATGATTAGACCCATAAAAGTTTAATTCTGTTCCAAAAGTTTGTATAATAGTACCAACAGTGCAGTTTGTGCCTGCAGTCTTTATTAACCTCTTTGTTCACTTTCACATAGAAAGTGACTGCATTCACAGGAGCAGTTATTTTCAGACTACAATTATAGCTGGTCTGCCAAGTGGACCAGTCAAGCAGTTGGATGTTCTGACATCTCATGTTTCCATAAAGCCCATCCTGCTGGTTTCCTTCTGGAGTTTCAGTGCCCTTATGAGCTCTGGGCTGACACCTCGCACTGCTCTGCCAGTGCAGGCAGCACGGGGAGGACCAGTCCAGAGTCCTCAGGAGAGCAGCCTGCTTCAAACGATCTGAAAATCAAAAGGCTTAGGTTTGAAAGTCTTGTTGGACAAAATGATGTCATTCAAGTATGCCATGAATTGATTTCTAGGAGACATAAATTCAAAACAAAATGATTGTTTAACTATTTCTAGGATGATTCACAAAGAAGAACATTTTATTATTGTTGCTTGATATTAGGGACTATTAGTTTCAAAAAGAACATACTTAAAAATTGTTCATGTGTAGACAAATTTTATAGAAAAATTCTGATCTGGTAAAAATATAAATTAGAAAATTTTATTGTAAAGAAATGAGGTATTATTTATTTTCAAATAACTAAAACAAATGGCTAAGAACATGTGACCCTAAATTCAGAAAAAAAGCTGCTATAATTAGCAGATGTCATGTGCTCTGATGCTAATAGGTATTAAAAGCCATTAATAAGTCTAATTGGGTTAAACTGTAGTCTATACCTTATTTTTATAAATAGATTGACAAAAACCTTTTTCAGTAAAAAAAAAAAAAAAGGAACAAGTGTTAAGTCTTGCACTAGCCAAATAATCATGAATCACAAAGTACATGAAACCCAAAGCATAACTTTATGAGGTTCACTGATAAGAGAATTTTCATGCTAATTAAGACACAGGTTTATCTAATTCAACTTATTCATTTTACAGATGAGGAAACTGAGGCCCAGGAAATTAAAGTAACTTGTTCCCAGATAATAAGTCTAGGTCATAAGCAGATCTAAACCTGCTCTATTTCTCCTATTTGAGGTGCTCCCTATACAGATAAAATATATTTCAAGGTACCTTCCTGGGAAAGATGTTTACAATTAGTTTACTCTCATTATAGCACATACAATCTCTTTTGAAATACCTTTGGTCTTGCTTGTTTTCTATTTAACAAGCACAGAAGTTCTCCTTACCACTCACATAAAACAGATAACTAAGGTAAAATGAGAAGACCAATGGATTTTGTATTAACAATCAATATACAATCCACGTGCAGATATTTGAAAATATGTTTTTTTCCCCATAAAACAGTCACGGGGCATGCTACCTGAGAGTAAAATGTAAGCAAAGCCTTGAGTCATTTACTAGGGATTTCTCTGCATTACTGAAGGCATACACATGCCAGACGCACAGGTATGATATGAAAAGGCTTTCAAGTAAGCTTTGCTCAAAAGAGGCAAAAGCTAAGTCAACTCCACTGTTTATCTTCTCAAAGAGAAAAAGGGAGAAAGGTGATTCATTTCCCTGGCACATACAGGATATGTTAACCAAAGTCCTGAAACAAAAGGTGTGAAAGTAGATAATTTGCTAGTTTGCTAATAAGAACAATTTGGAAAAGGGGGCAGAGTCTATAAAACCAACTAAAGAGAACTTGTTGAGCATTAACTGTTATATATATATTACATCTTTTAACTCTTGACAAGTTCGAAAAATAGGCCTTATTAGAAGAAGCTGAGGTGGTAGAAACAAGGTTCCCCAGCTACTAAGTGATGAAGTTGGAGCTGAAAGCCAGGTCCCATTCTCCCACTCTCGCCTCCACGCTACAAGGCCTCCCGATGGTCAGGGATAGGGAGAGTGAATGCTGTCCTTCGGTGTTAGCCTCTAATCCCTTCTAGTTCTCAGTTCCATGATTAGAAAAAGACCAAAACAAAACAGAAGATACAGCTCTTAAATGAGAAAAATGGGGCTACAGATAAAGATTTTTCCATATCATCCTTTTCCAGTGCAACACAAATATCAGCCAATGATGAATGAACATGTCCTTTACTTGTAAGCAGCACCAGGAAATATTGTCACACTGAATGTGGTCCTACTGTAACTTTTAGGTCACTTCATTGTTGTACAGGAATGAATGTTTCAGAAACTTCATCTGAGAATTAAATCAAAACCTAAAATAGACTGAGAGAAGGAAAACATTCTTGGCTGAACTAAATGTAAACTGGGAGGCTCTGGACCTTTCAGGATGAAGTGGGCCTGTCACCGAGTACATACTCTGCAGCAACTGTAACCCTTAGGTAATCTGAGCAAAGACAAGGTTCTCTCCTCTGCAAATTTAAAGTCACATCATTTCTTACTCAAGATAATCATTCTGAGGATGCTCTGTAACCCTCCACTTACACCAGAGTAACTTGTGCTATCTCATCCACCTGGGACACTACCAGAAATCGGGACGCAAGCAAGAAAGGCTAATAGAAGGCCTAAATAAACACATCAAGGTTTATTCAATTCAATCCAGCCAGAAGTCACTGAGAGCATACTATACACCAGGCACTAGGCCTGATGCTGGTGATGGGAGCAATGATAATGATGATGATAAGAATAATAATTATAGTAGTAGCTAACACGTACTGAATGGTTGTCATGTGCCAGGCCCTGTTATAAACACTTAAACTTACTTGATCCTCCTAACAACCATATGAGGTAGGTCCTACTGTTAGCTGCATTTTCATAAGGAAACTGAGGCACAGAGCAGTTAAGTAACTTGCCCAGGGCCGTGCGAGTTAGACGCAAACCCAGTTGGTCTGGCTTCTGAGTCTGCACTGCTGGGCACTACACTATACTGCACTCTCAGTAGAGTGGGGATAAAGGATACAAGGGACAGTAAGATTATCTCCACCTGGGAGTTTAATCACGAAGACAGGCAAGCAAACCTTAGAGGAGCGCCTAAACCAAGCCAGGGCTTAGGGAAGGCTCCCACCAGTAACTGCCCTGTCAGCCGAATTCTAAAGCCCAGGTAGGAGCTAACCAGGGGAGACAGGAGCATAGTGCACATTCCAGGGGGAGGAAGTAGCTTTCATAAGGCCCCAGGGTGAAGGAAAAAGCATGAAGAGCCTGTAAGACTCCACACTGATCTCCTGGATGGAGTCAACAATGATGTGTTTTTTGGGGGGAAGGCAGTAGGTTGGTGAAAGAGGGCTGAAATGGGAGGGTGGAGAGATAAACAGAGGTGACTCACAAAGGAGCTGACACAGCATGCTAAGGACATATGGAATTTATCCTGAAGAAAAGGGGGGCCATGGAAGTTTGACCAGGGGATCTAGCTGCCTCTGACAACACTCACTCAGTGTCTAAATGGATCAGCAATGGCGAAACTGGAGGAAGGCAAACTGGATGAGGAGCTGGCAACAAGTGTAATTAGGTGAGAAGACAGTGGCCTCAACCAAGGTAGTGGCCCCAAGATGGAAGAAAGTAGACTTACATAAGACATGCTAATGAAGAAAACAGAAAAAGTACCTGCTGAGAGACTATTTATGGGGGGACTCCTTACAGGGAGGAACCGAAGCAACAACACCAGGTTTCTACTTTGAGGACACAGGTAGAGGTTGGGCATTACTGAGACAAGGACACTGGGAGAGAAGCAGGTTTCAGATATGAAGGATCCGTTCATTTAAAAGTCTCAGGAACTTGACTCAAGAAACCCTGTCTAACAAAGAATTCTGAATTTTCTCTTTAAATACCGTTAACAATAAGAAGGTGCTGATCTGCCTTTCCAGCCTATGAGTGGTTAGAAGCTGAAAATTTAGGGGGAAGAATTGTGCCCAAGAAACAAGAAGGCTGACAGGAGAAAGGAGACACAGAAATAATTAAAAGAGCCCTAGGGAATGCCAAAAAAAAACCCCAGACAGCAAAGAGCCCTTCCCATCTCAACAGGGTAATCACAGCACATCACAAGAAGAACAGGTTACAAGATTAACCTAATCATTGAGAAAAGGTTAATTTGTGCTCTGTATGCTCTGTTTTAATAATCAGGGGAAACAGGAAATGGATTTTAGGAAGGCACTGATAAAAATAGTTCAATAAAAATTTTTGCTGCAAATCCTTTGGTTAGGTAGAAAATTCACTTACTGTGGAAAACCTCACTCACCATCACAATGGATAAAAAGTGACAGATCACATGTCTCTTTTCAGAAGAGAGGTGCTGCAGTGACCAGCACAGGCCCTTTGACCAAGACAAGCCCTCCTCCCTCCAAGCCAGCATCCTATCGCTCTCCTTTATCTCCTCAGGAATAGCAAACCACTCTGACTGGGGGCAAATTTTGTGGCTGATTTTGTTCAAAGCAACATTAAGCTGGCTCTCATCTTAAGGCCATATACTGCTGTGTTGACAATTACTTAAAAAAGTATGATAGAAAAAGATAATCATTGCCAAGCACAGAATTAATCAGTATTAAATACATTCCTTACCTGTCCTTTATGATGACTTCACCGCAGGATTGGCAATAAAATGTGCAACATCCTTGGGCTTGTAAACTTTGATTAAACATTGAAATCAGTTCTAAAGGAAATCAATGAAATAGCAAATCTTAGAGGTTGGAATGACTGTATTAACATACTTAAAAGAGTTTAATAGCCACAATAAATTACCACCAATAAACACTGTTTATGATCTACCTAGAAATACACATTTAATTAGCATTATCTGATGACTCAACCAGAAGCAAATATTGTGAAGTGTTTTCAAAAACAACAGATTTTGCTGAGGGTTTCAGAGCTAGGTGTTGCCCTAGATTACCCACGTAACATTTGTTGAGTTATTTCTCTCTTTCCATAAATACCAACATTAAGGATGAGTGAAAATGAACCATTTCCTCCACATAGAGCTAACTACACAGATCTTCACCATCCTCAGCTTTCCTCTGCTATGTCTCACAGCACAGTTCTTCATCAGGGCAACTGCTAGTAAAGAGAGCTCTTAAATTTAAGTTAATTTGATTTAAAGAAGGTTTATGTCCACTATGGAATATTGGATGTATCTCAAACTGGTTTTTACTGGACAGGGTGCTGGGAATGCAATGGCTCTAAAGAAGAGTCCACTCTTTCAAGAGCAAAATTCAATTTCTGATGAAAGCCATGAGAAAACATTGAAAGCTTGGAGAAAATGTACATTTCCCACACTATGTAAAACAGAAACATAAGGCAGCATATTCCCTTAGTTTCTGTTATTTCTCTTGTGAAAAAAGGAAATCTTCATTAAAAAAAAACCCTAAAATATAGGTCTACAGAAAACCTAATTAAAGAAATGACATCATATCCATTAGAATCAAGAAATTTGAATGTGGTTTATGTTACTCCATATATATATTAAGCATAAAAAAATGGATGCTAGAAAATTTAAGCCCTGGCAATTAAAAATCCTTCAATTTCTAGGGGTGAGCACAAATCCCTACAGCACTAACGCAAAATAAAGAGCATTATTCTTTAACTTTGAGCAGACTGATAGGAGACCTAGGTAAGACATCCAAAATATTCCTTCCAGGCCAATAAACAAATTTTCAGTGAAACACTGCCCTCTGCTGGCCGCCTAGAATGAGGCACTGGGTCAGGCTTAAAACGCAGAACTTTCTCATATACAGGAACCTTGGATAGCACAGCTGCTAGGTTGAATCTAACATTTGTGTTATATACATCACATCCTTCTGTGGCCAGTCCCATTTCAGGGGTCATGATCTGGCACTCAAAATAGTGTGCCAGTATGATGTTTACTATAACTGTCCTTAAAATGATGTTCTCACCGATGAAGTCACCTTTTTTTATCCTGAAACACAAACTGAATGCTAAAACTTTCAAAAGTCACTTCCTACAATACAATTTGATTAATGTTCACATCAGTACACATCTATTCACATTTATTCATTCAGCAAGTTATTTATTCACTACCGATTGTGTGGAAACCACTAAAGCAATCAAGTGCCGAGGAATCTATTTTGCATACACTTTCACGCACTATGGAACAGGCTTTTAAAATTTTCCTTTTCAGATATTTAAGTAAAATGTTTTAAACGAGTAAAGAAACAGGAGACCAATGACCACAAACAATATGCAAACCAGCACACAGCAAGCAATTTACTTTGTCCTACGGTTAAGATTAAACAGTGTTTGCAGATTCAAAATTTTATAAATAATTCCAGTTTTGCTTTTGTATATTCACAGTTACAGAATATGGGTGGGCAACAACCTAATACTATGTCCCTGGAGGTCTCCATTCCTCCATCCCTAAAATCACAGTTCCAGAAAACTAGAAAACACTCCCCAGTGAGTTTCTGCCTGCCTTTTCCCAGTTTCCAGATCCAACACAAAATTCCCGCTGTGGTTACTGTTGTTCATTGTTGCTAAAGGATAAGGTGATGATGTCACAAGATCCAGACTCCCATGGCCTCTTCCTGAAACAACACTTTCTCTGCCTATTATTAGGTGCACTCAGGGAGTCTTCTTCCTGTCTTGGTGACCCCATCCTTCTTTGCGTGGTTATTCCAATAGTCATTCTTAGCATTTATTCTATGCCACTTAAGCTCCATTGGCATCTCTTTTCTCTACTCCTTGTTCCTAAAACCAACTCTGTTCAACTCAAACTAGTTATTCATTAATCCAGGACATCAGCAAAAATTACTCTCCAGCAAAAAAGGAGCGAAACTCTATTTTCACTTTCCTTTCAAAAGCCAGGAATAAGACTCAGGGGAATGCTCAACATCTCCTAAACAGCTCTTCAGAACAATCCTACCGACCCCACTGCCAGGATCCGCACAGCTCAGATGAAAAGCTTATTACAGACGAGGCAGCAGTAAAGTCTCGGGGTGCAGCTGAAAGAACTATAATCTTTCCCTGAGAATAAACATCACATCAGTCTTTTACAGCCTCTGTTCCCCCTTTTACATCATTTTAATCCCCCAAAGCATATTATTTATATTTTAAGAGATGTAATGAACCCAATAATTTTAGTCAATATAACCTTGAGGTCTTATGAAATTTTTTTGCTGCATTACTGAATCAATATATCAATTACAAAATGTTGTAAATGTAACAGGCTTAGCAACAATCAAAATTAAATTATACATCAAACTCAATTTCAGGACCTTTATGTGTACTGTTCTATTTGAAACTGTCTCTACATGGATGGGATCATTTCTATCATCAAGTTCTCTGATCAAACATCACCTGCTCACAGTGGCCTTCCCTGACCACCTGTCACCCAAGCCCTAGTCACTCCCTATCCCATTATTCTGCTTTACTTTACCCACAGCACTTTCCCTGATATGCAATTAAATTATGTGTTCATTATCTGTTCCCACCAAATAAAATGTAAGCTCCATGAGAGCACAGACCTTTCCTACCTGTTCACTTCTGTATCCCTAGCACCTAGATATTAATGCCTAGCACATAGCATGAACTAAAATATCTGTTAAATGAATAAATTTCTATATAATGCTTTATAATCAACCAGGCCTTGCACAACTGCCATCTGATGTAATCTTCACATCACATCTGTGAGTTAGGAAATTTTACAATTAAAGAAACAAAGCAGGAGGTATCGGGGAAATCTCTATACCTTCTGCTCAATTTGGCTGTGAACATAAAAGTGCTCTAGAAAAGGGAGGCAGGGAGAAAGAGAGAGAGGAAGGAAGCCTCAGGTCAAGTGACATGGTCAACTGTACACAGCCAGTAACAGGCAGAGCTGACAACGACCCTAAACTTCTCAACCCCCGGCTCTTCCCATGCTGCTGATGAACAGTTTTTTCACCTGGGAAAAGTTCAACTTATCAAAAGAAATATCACCTTTGACGTATAACGAAAAAGTAAATGCAGAAACAAAAGTGCTAACGTTACTCACGTGGGCTGAATTCTGCCCGCGCCTGCAGCCGCAGGTGCAGTCCATCTCCAGCAACGAACTGCAGCCCACGGCAAGAAGAAGGTACAAGCCTGACCTCTGCTGGAAGCCAGATCTCTGCGCAGCCTTCAGGAGTCTTCATCTGGAGTGAGGACGGCGTTATGGAAATATCCATGGGCATGCCTTCTTCTTTTGCTTCTCTGGCAATTAAAAATAAAACCCAAGTAAATTATTTCTCATAATGAAAACCACATGATGAAAGAAACAAAAATGACCAAGGATCTCTCTGTTCCTCTTCAATAGGGGCTCTAAAGTCACTGCCTCAGAAAAACAGCAGCAAGTGAACCATAAAAGAAACAAATCTACACTAGATTCAGATCAGGTCAGAGAGTACTCTTCATTGTCACCGTAACATGCAAATCCTGGGTTGTATTTTTCATTCTTGCTTCTGAGACCAGCACTACGATCATGCTTTATCTCACAGTAAATCAGAGCAAAGTACTATTACTTGATATACAGGATTTTGATAAAGAGATCAGGATTAAGTGAAACAAAGGATACAAGAGAAAAACTTTCCTGTCAATTTTAAGAATAAAAAGAATTAATGAAGAAAACAATATAGTCATCTATGAATATTACTCCGATTCACAGTAAACACAAATTACTCAGTGTAGGCAATAAAGGGTAAAACACAGTCCCTGTCCACAAGGTGTCAAAAGGATAGAAGGGATGAAGGCATATATAGAAATAACCCTCCTCTGAGTCTGAGGTATGCTAAACATTTACCAGAGGTACAAAGTACTACAGCTCCGTCTCAAGTACGGACAGCAGGCCATCCACATGGTGTCACCTAACTGCAGACATCAGGCCATCTGCTTGAGGGTCATCTAAACACAGGGCCGATCATGTGTTCAGGTTAGGCTTCTTTTTTTTTCTTAAGAGACAGGATCTCACTCTGTCACCCAGGCTGGAGTACAGTGGTGCAATTATAGCTCACTGTAGCCTCAAACTCCTGGGCCCAAATGATCCCCCTGCTTCAGCCTGCCTGGTAGCTAGGACTACAGGTATGCACCACCTTGAACTTCCGGCCTCAAGCGATCTTCCCACCTCAGTTTCCTAAAGTGCTGGGATTACAGGTGTGAGCTACCACTCCCAGTTAGGCCTCTTAATTTGCCTTAGAAAATCTTACAATTACTTTCTGGCTGGTTCTTTTCCAAAGCATATAGATCTGCACTTAACTGACAATACACAATATCAAGTACTTGAGTTTTTTGCAGGGACGATAGCCTCAAACCCTTGAGTCAAAAGGGCAATTTCAAGAAATGTTTAAAAAATAATGATCCTCTAAAGCAGGAGTCAGCAAATTTTTTCTATAAAAGCCCAGATAGTAAATATTTTAGGCTTTGTGGGCCATATATTGTCTCTGTTACATATTCTACTTTGTATTTGTTTGAAACACTTAAAAAAAAAAGTAAAATCCATTCTTAGCTCACAGGCTGTACCAAAACAGGCTGTGGGTTGGATTTGACTGATGGGCTACACTTTGCTAACTACTTCTTTAAAGCTACACAATGTCCATTTTGCTACCTCAAAGATTTTCAAACTGGACTATGTAGAGCTGACACTCGCAAGGGCCTCAAGGGCCACTGGGTTCCTAAGTCCCCCACCCCAACTCTGGCTTACCACTCTTCTTTCCCATCCCGAAAAATTCAGTCATTTACGTAGGGCCAAGCAAGGTAAGCATCAATGCAAACATAGGGAACCACAGTGGCCGGGCATGGACGTGAGAAATCTAGCAGGGTGTGGAGGGCATCTACCAGGACCACCAGCCCCCAAGACAGGTGAGGAGGAAATCTGAGTGGCAGATGGGGGTAGCTCAGCGTATGGTTGCAGAGCATCTTGGGTTTCTGTAGCAGCTCGGGCTGCTATAACAAAATACCATAGATTGGGCAGCTGAAACAACAGACATGGCAGAGAGAGGAAGTTCTGATGTCTCTTCTTCTTATAAGGACCTACTGTTATCACAGTGGCCCCACCCTCATGACTTCATCTAATCACCTCCCAAAGGCCCCACCTCCTAACACCATCACACTGGGGGTTAGGTCTTCAATATATAAATTGGGGCGGGGGGGTGGCACATTCAGTCCATAACAGAGTCCAAGCAGATGGGGAGAGTGTCAACAATGAATGGAGGGGGCGGAAGTGGCAATGGATCCCAACAGAAGATTAGTCACACAGAGGGGGATTGACCAAGCAGATAAATGCCACAAGGATACTGAGGACCAGCATCCTCGCTGTGGGAGAACAGTGTTATAAAGAGGAAAAGGGAGAAAATTAGAATGGACCCTATGGTGGTGGGGTAGAATGAGAAATATCTGTGCAAAGTCATGTATACAAATAGATACAGTACTATAGATAGATGTAAATGGATGTATGTCCATATGTATGCACGCCCATCCATATAGAAACATCATATATATGTCTCACAAACACACACACACACTCTAGTTCTGGGAGAGGTGACACTCAATAGTAATGAGCACAGTTAGTGCCCAGATCTTGGTTTGTAAATGCCATTTTCCACTTAAAAAAACATAAAAATAAACAAAAAACAGAGTTCCTTTGAAAAACGACTACATCCAGTAAAATGGAACAGAAAAGAATGCAATAAGCCTGGAACATGTTGCTGTGCAACAAATTAAGGAAGAAATCAAAAAATGATAGGAACATATCCAAAAAAACACAGAAACCATCTTGAAGGGACTCACCTGGTCACATTTGTTCAAGCAAAAAAGTAGCCTACTGAATAAAACAGGACCATGTGTCCTTGCTGATGTAAATAAATAAATAAAATGAAAGTCTGATGAGGAACAGGATAATCATATAGTCTCAAAACACCTCTCCAATTAATATTTTCGATTACAAAGAGAAAGAGAGTAACTTTAAGGTGGAGGAGACTGGCAGGCACTATCTTACTTAAGTACTCAAAGTTAGCACAACCAATAATGGAACAAATCAAAATCATGGGCCACCTGACAGAATGCAATATGCAAAATCACGTACCATCTAATAGGAAGCATCATTTCTGTGATATTTCTGCCAAAGATGTATAACCCGAATCTAATTTTGAGAAAACATAAGACAAATCCAAATGGAAGGATATTCTACAAAATAATTATGCTATAATCTTCAGAGGTGTCAGGATGATGAAAGCGAAGGAAAATTGAGGAACTCTTCCAGATTCAAACAGACTGAGGAAGCATGACAGTGAAATGCAGTGCATGATTCTGAACTGGATTCTTTTGCTATTAGAGATATTATGTGGACAACTGGAAAAATGTGAATGAGGTCTGAGTATAAGATGGTAGTAACATATTTCCTAATTTTGAGGGTTGCATAGTGGTTATTTGGGAGAATGTCCTACTTTGAGACTCTAATTTTGGTGACATAGTACATAAAATCTTTATACTTGAGTCTTTCTTCACGATTCACTTATATTCTTCCAAGTATTACACCTTGCTTAAAAGTATCCAGTAATTTCATCTCTCACTCTAAGTGCAAGCTAAAGTCCTTTCAATGGTCTATGAGACCCAGTGATATACTAAACTCTCAGATCCTACAAGCTCTGGAGAACCTGTTGTCAAACTTCCAGGAATTGTGCAAATCAGTTCAACTCACCAGTTAGTACATTGAAGGTCATCTATGGTGAAAGTATTTACTCTATAGGAATCAACAAATGCTGCCAATCGAATCTTTAGCTTATTTGGGTTTGTTTTGTTTTCATGGCATTTACTAAGGGTTTCGATCATGAACAGGTATTGTATTTTTTCTAGTGATTATCTGCATGTATTGAGATGGTCATATTTTTCCCTTTAATCTTTACATCTGTGAATTACATTAGGAAAATCTATTTATGTTCAGCCATCTTAGCATTCTTGGGATAAACTTTGTCCATTCATTAACTCAATCCACAGATGTTTACTGAGTTCCCACTCTCGTGCCAAAAACAGCATAGTCAAGTGATTTCTCATGAAGATGCTGAGTTATTCCAATGGGAGAAACAATGGTTTTCTTCAACTAACGTGATAGAACAACTGTGTATCCTTGCAGGAAAAATGAACTTTGACCCCTACCTCACTGCAAACACAAAAATGAATTTGACGTGATCACAGATCAGGATATAAAAGCTAAAATTATTTAATTCCTAGAAAATAAAACCAGCAAAAAATCTCCACAACCTTGAGGTAGGAAAAGATTTAAGACAAAAAAAACAATACTAACTATAAAAGGAAAAATAATGATGAACTGGATTTCATTAAAATTAAAATTTCTGTTCATCAGAAGACACTATTTAAAAAATTAAAAGGTAAGTCACAGATTAGGGTAAAATATTCACGTATTCACAAGGCATATATATGAGAAATGTCTTGGTTCGAAACTATATAAAGAACTCTTTCAATCTGACAATAAGACAAACAACCTGATTTTTTAATGGCAAAAAATTAGAAGATACTTTTAAAAAGAACATGCATGAATTGTCAAAATACAAATGAAAAGCAGTCAACATTATTAGTCCTCAGGGAAAGGCAAATTAAAACCACAAGACATTTAACACCTACAAGGATGGCTCAAACCAAAAAGACTGACAATATTAAATGGTCAGGTGAGAATATGAAGCAGCTGGAACTCTCATTTTTTTTCTGGTGAGCGTGTAAACTGGTACAACCACTTTGGAGAACTGTTTGGCAGTTTCTCACAAACTAACACGCACATCTATCCTATGACCCAGAAATTTCACTCTGGTATTTACTCAAGAGAAATGATAATGTATGTCCACAATGAAACTTATATAACAATGTTATGGCAGCTATATTCATAATAAGCAAACTCTGGAAATCAGAAAAACATCCAGCATAGGAAAATGGATAAATGAAATTGTGGTATATTCATACAATGAAAAACTACTCAGCAAGACTGGACTACTGATAAATGCAACAACATAGATGAAACATGAATTTCAAAAACATTATGTTGAAGGAAAGCAGCCTCAACCAAAATAGAACATACCGTATAAATGCATTTATATGTAGTTTAAGAAGTGGCAAAACAAATTTATGTTTAATGAAATCAGAACAGTGGTTGCTCCTAGCACAGGGGAATTGACTGGTGATAAATCTCAACAGCCAAAGACCACCGGGAACAAACCAGTAGTCCAGCAAAGTTAGGTTTCTTAACTTGTCAAACAAGGGAGTATACTCCAGAAGAATTGTGGAGGGTTTTTTGTTTTGTTTTGTTTTGTTTCGGTACGGTTTGGCCTCCTAATTACTCTACAAGTGGTACCGGAATTAGAGATATTTGTCCAAACTCATGATTTTTCAAAGAGAGGAAGAAAGAAAGAAATTCAGACAATACTATCACCCCCGTTTTAGGGTTGAAGAAATTCAGTCAAGTATTCTATAACTTTGTGAGGAAGCTACAATTTGAACTCAGTTCTCAAGCCAAATCCAAAATTGCCACACCAGATATCTCGCAGATATGAGGAAAATCTTAGCATCAATTTACTTGTGGTACTGTGTAATTAAATTTTCAGGATTTTAATATCTGACTCTTTTTGAAACAAGGGGACCACGAACCACCGAAATTGCTGACAAAAAAACAAAAAAGAGAACATTTTTCCAAACAGTTTTTTGTTTGTGTAGCACATAACAAGTTAAATGTTTGCAGACTTCTCATTGGAACTCAGAATATGAATAAAAGGATAAGCTCCAATGAGAAGTCTGCAACCTGTGTTTTCATTCACCGAACACAGGTTACTGTGTTGGTTTCTCTGCAAAGAGCAGGTTGAGGAGAAAAAAAATCCGAGGTTCTTCGCAAAAGAGTAAGCTTGATATAAGATTCGTGATCTTACAACAAGGACCACGAATAAAGGTAGACAAAACATTTTTTGCATTGTTTTTTTGGAAACGCTGGGCACTGCCAACAGTGTTTTACATCACTGTTCCTCAAACCTGAATGTGCGTTTGAATCCCGGGAATCTTGCTAACATTTAAGTTCCGATTCTGTAGGTATGGTGTGGGACTGATATCCTGCATTTGTACAAAGCTCCCAAGAGACGCCAAAGCTGTCAATCGGGGCGGGGTGGGGGCGATAACTACAGGGAGAGGCTTCACTTTGAGTAATCGAGACACTCTAAACAACTGGAAAGAAGACACTCAAATCCCTCGTTCAGAGGCAGGCGGCGACTCCCCAGTCCCCGGCCCCTGGGGCAGCAGAAAAGCGAGCCGAGCACCGCGCCTAGGACCCCTGGTCTTACCCCAGGATCAGCAGCGCGCTCTGCAGCTGTCTCCGCACCTCCAGGAACACGCGCGTCTCTGCCGCAGTTGCCGCCATGCCCGGCCCGGGGCGGGACCGACCCGGAGGTTCTAACGAACCCGGGTCAATCCGGCCAGGAGCCGCTGCACGTGCGGCGGGAGAAGCAGCGGCAGCGGCGGCGGCGGTGGAGGAGGTGCAGGCCGCCAGGGCAGGATCGCGCGGCCGGCACCGGCTGCCAGCCCACAGCGCCGCCTGCCGGGCGGAGAGCGCGCCGGATCCCGCGGGAAGGGAGCGGAGGGGAGGAGACGGGAGCAGAGGGGTGGAGACGGGAGCGGAGGGCCGGGGCGGGTGGAGCTGGAGGTCGCATTTTTAAAACCGGCCTTTAGCCCAGAGCTCTGAGAAAGGTGGGCGGGGAGAGCCAAGCTGTCCTCCCACTCGGCTTCTTATGGACTTGGCCTGGCCCTTAAGTCTCCCCAGAAATGACCATAAAATCAGACCAGGGAGACACCCTTTGGCTAGTTTGGGATGAGGCTCGAAGGAAGGGAGATGATGGAGGCAGGTGATACAGGTGGGCACTGTTCCCAGGAAGTCCAAGAGCGGAATCCCTCGCCCCAAACCCACTTTATCTTAGTCTCTTTTTTATGAGCTAGAGTCATTTGTTAGCCTCCGCCTGAGAAAACAAAATGTCAAGTTAAGATAGCTCCAAAATTGATACAGTTGAAAAGATGTAAGAGGTTTTCTGTTACCTACGCGGAAAGTGTGGTTGAAATTTACTATCTCGAATCACAGGACTAACAATTTGTTTGAAAAAAAAGAAAGATGAAAATGATTCCATACTACAGCTGTACTATTCACTTTTGCACAAGTAAAAACTAACTCAGAGAAGTTGTAATCCTACTGCACAAGATAATTTTGGAAAGTCTGAAACAGAAAAGAATCTAGTATTATATAAATACTTATAATGGAGAAATATTAAAATGTAAGACCTCAGTAGAATTACAGTATGACTTATTTAAAAACAAGAGACTTATTTTTTAAAACAAAAGCAATGATGCCTTATATACAGAAAATCTTGTCTACTGATGTTCTATAATTTCAAAGTCATAATTACCACACACCAAAAACATTAATTTGAAGCATTTCTAAATAAATAAATCCCTAAATAAATTCTTTAGTATACCTTAAAATACTAGCTTAAGACAATTTTTCTAAAATCAGTTTTTAGGGTTTTTAAAGTTTATTGTGTTGCTGCACAAATTACTGTATCGCAATAATTAGAAATCATGGATGGAGGTAACAATTCAGTTAAAAAAATAAAGTTTGGGCCTGGCGCGGTGGCTCACGCCTGTAATCCTAGCACTCTGGGAGGCCGAGGCGGGCGGATCGTTTGAGCTCAGGAGTTCCAGACCAGCCTGAGCAAAAGCGAGACCCCGTCTCTACCAAAAATAGAAAGAAATTAATTGGACAGCTAAAAATATATAGAAAAAATTAGCCGGGCATGGTGGTGCATGCCTGTAGTCCCAGCTACTCGGGAGGCTGAGGCAGGAGGATCGCTTGAGCCCAGGAGTTTGAGGTTGCTGTGAGCTAGGCTGATGCCACGGCACTCTAGCCCGGGCAACAGAGTGAGACTCTGTCTCAAAATAAATAAATAAATAAATAAAGTTTGCTACTGTTTAGCCTGAAACAACTCATCCATTTAAAGGGCAATGATTTCAACTCCTCATCTCCCACCTTTAATCTCCAAAGCTATTAAACGCTTAAATATTGACATATTATATTGAAATATATACCATTCTTAGCACAGCATGCTCTCCATAATTGTTTTATTAGTTTAAAAGATTGTTATATTGTATATATAATCACTATTTTTTTTTACCTTACTGTCTTGGCAAAACTCTGCGATCATCTTTAGAATAACTTGATATGATTGAGAAAGCTCTACACTCAAAAATACTTCCAAATCCGATACCAAGTATTTGTCACCTAACTTCACAAGTCTCCTAACCTCTCTGGGCCTCAGGTTACTAATATGAAATATTGAGGAATTACTTAACTAATACATAATATTTAAATCCTGTTTTTAAGTCATTATCCCTTCAAAATCTCCATCAAGATGGGACTGGAGAGGGCGTCCTCTAAACCCCTTTCCCTCCACTCCTGCCATTGGTGGCTATGGCCACTTCCCCCAACAGTCCGCTTGAGGGCGCTGTAGCAACAGCTAGCGCCGGCAGGCAAGGCGTGAACTGGGGCGGGGATGTAGGGCCGTCGACGTCGACGCCGGCGTGGACGCGGTGCACGCTGGGAGCTGTCACTAGGCCCTTCGGCTCCCGGCCTTGGTGTCGCTGCCGCGGTTGCCAGGAGAGCGGCGCCGGCGGGGAGCGGCCGAGTCCACGGCAGGTAACAGCGTTCCCGCCCCCAGCGCGGTCGCTAGACTAGTCGCCGGCCCTGAACATCCTTCTCGGCCCGGCTCATTCCGGAGCCTCTGGGACTCCCCGCGGGTCTGGCTGCTGTGGCGTCGGGGGTGTTGCCGCCTCGGCCCCGCCTGGAGCCGCGAAGCCGGTCGTCCGCCTTCTGGTTTCCGCGAAGACCGGAGCTGCACGGGGACCGGAGGGTCAGGACCGGGCGGAGGCGCGAGGTTGGCCCTGGGCATAGGCGGCAGGAGGCGGGGCCGGGACGTCCTGTGGCGGGTTCGGAGCCCCCTGCGCCAGGGCCGAGCAGTGCGCAAGGCTGAGGCATAGGTCGCACCTGTGCGGTAAAGGCGCACAGAGTAATCTCTTTGTTGGAGGAATCAAGGCATCGTGCCGTCTGTTCATCTGGTGGGCTCTTTTGGAATTGAGGAGACAGGAATACTGGCTGTAGTTAATGTTGTCGGGTTTGGGATTAGAAAGGAGTACGGAAGTTTATTAAGAGGAAGTCAGAATAGTCACACGGAAGTTGTTAACAATTACCAGCTTTGATTCCCAAGTCTTTTAAAGTTGCAACATAATAATAATTACTTGTTCCGTCTCCTCCATTGGTTCCTTTACCCTAAGGGGGGGCGGGGATGGCACACAACCATTCTTAAAAGCTAAGTAAATTGTGTTAAGATTATTCTTACACTTCTTAGAATTCTGTGGAGTTTGAGAAATATAAAGATTGGAAAAACCTGATTTAGAGACTGTAGTTAAAGCAATCAAAAATTTGATTACAGAAAATATAGGAAACTGAAAAATAAGCCCTGAACTATAGACAGACAAAAATCACTCAATTTCGATGTTATTGACTATTGTCCTGCAGAAATAAATTCGTGCATTTTAATTTTACTTCTAGGTATAATATGGCCTACTATGAATAACGTCAGCATTATGTGCTAAGTAACTCATCACCTGATAGACAACACAGTGATTTAGTTGAGCTGACAGACTTTAATGAGTAAATTAAAACCACACATAATCCATATGCTTTATTGTATTGATTACTTTCAGCCACCACTCAAAACTAAATCACTCTCCTGAATTGCTAAGCAATAGCAAATCTCCAGGTGGGTCTGATTATTAGGGACCACATTCTTGAACAAGGAATTGAAAACACCTAAGTTAATAGACAAACTAGAAAATGTGATACCATAACCAAAACCTTAAATGTAAGTTAAATGTTGTTAATTAAATGTTTGACTATATACATTCAAAAAGACTCCTATTGTGTAGTTAAAGTAATGGAAATTCCCAGGAGCTCTGGCCTGGGAATGAAAAAAAGGTTCAAGTCCTTCATTCTACTGCTAATGGGATGTGATCTCTGTAGGCCCCAGTTTTGTCATTGTTTAAGGGAATTTAAATTTTTCCAAACTGATGTTTCCTCCTAACACTGTTGTAAAGCCATTTGGTAGGCTTACTGCCCCAAAACAGTGTTCTGTGGCAAATAATTTGGGATCCCAGCACACTAGGTTAAACTAGTTTTTTGTTGATTTTTTTTTTTTAATTTGCTTATGAAGGCAGGAATTTTCACTGCTATGTGTATATGCATGTTAATCTCCAGGAGAAGGTTATCATCTAGTTTCCTAAACTTACCTGACCTGAGAGCCTATTTTCTCATGGCCAGCCTGTTAACATCTCTTAGAATATAATTACAGAGAATACAAATTTGAAAATTGCTGCACTTGAGCTGAATCTCCTTGCAGCTGTAAAATTTGACTTTTTAAACTGTCAGTTCCAGCTTTCTGGAACTGACAGTTTAAAAAGCCTGTTAAAAGCATATTAACATGCTCCAGAAAGCTGGAGCATGAAGACTAGTGGCAACTCACTTGTATAACAAAAGAATTATATTTTTTTCCCTTAGTAAAATATTAAGGATGCACATTGGAGTCTTAATATTTTAATTTATGGCAGAATAGTATCTTCTTTTTTCTTGTCCCTTGATGCTTTTCTTTAACCATAATTAGTTCATGTTTTGAATTTGATTTTATGGTGGAGTTATTGATTTTATTCAGAATGGTATTTTAAAGTTTCAACAAGTAAAGACTCTTTGATAATGGCATTACTTTTACTATGATGATTTTCCCTTCCAGTAATTAATTCTTAAAACTATGAAATGTGAAAGAAGCCACCTGAAATGTACTTAATGTGTAATAACTACATAATTTTAACAGCTTAGATCATCAAAAAGAGCTAAAGATTAAAATAAATTCTGAAAGAGTTATTGCTAAATTGCTTACAAACAGAATGTAAGTGTTGAGTACAATCTTAAATTGTTCTGCTGCATTCTGTTAGGTATCATTATCACACAATGAATATGGATATTCTGTTCTTTGGAACTTTGTTAGGGGTCAGTGCTATTAATGCACACTTTGTTTAGGGGGAGGAGTGGGAACAGAACATACAATTTTAATAGATAAGCCTTAATTCAGGTAAATTCTCTTCCTGAAATAAAACTAAGTAGAAATATAAAGCTAATGTTTTTATGTCATAGCTAACAGTTTTTATTGAGAATTTATTATATGAAAATTTGATCCCCTTGTCTTTAAACTGCAATTTCCCTTTTCTTTTTATTGTATTTACCTCCTCCTCCCCAAGCTGTCCAAGCCTGAAACTTCAATGACCTTTGATTGTATAGGTCAA